ATGTGGGGTCCTGCAACCCACTCCTGTGGATTCTCGCCCTTTGCTCCCATGGAGCAGGACTGACCCCCTGATTTCTTTGCCTTTTCCTTTCCAGATGACCTTGGAAAATCCCCAACTTCCTCCCTTATTTTATCAAGCAAACCCAGCTCCCATTAGTTGCCCCGACCTTTCCAGCATCATCCTGTGCTCCCTGGGACAAGTCACCATCACCTCCAGCACTATCAGCCCACTCCTCCCTCCCCAGTGTCCCCAGGGCCCCCAGCACCCCAGCACTGCTTCAGGGTAAGAAGTGCCCAGGATTTAAAAGCCACCCAGGAGGTGGGACCCTGGTGCTTCCAGACATGCCAGAAATTGTCCAAGCTCAGCTGAGGGCTTATTCTGCCTGTGAGACAAAAAGAAGGGAGAAGCCCTTGGAACTGAGCAGGAAAAGGGGCATCAAGTACTTGGGACCCCCAGCCAGGTGCATTCCAATGGAAAATCGCCACAGGCTCTGCATCCTGCAGGAGATTGACTCCTGAAGCAGCTTCCCAAGGACATAATATTCTGAAGATGGCATTTTAACACAGGATAAATCACTGGGTCACCACAGGAGGTCCGAGGGAAATCCCAGGCTGCCCCTGGGAGTTCTGTGGCTTGACCCTTTCCAGGCCATTTTGTAATCTGGATGCAGCTATATGTGTTGAGAATGCCATGGAAGAAACCACTTCAATCCAGAGCAGTATTCCATCAAAGTTCTGCAGGAATGTGAAACTGAAACCCCGATTGCTGCTGTTCTTCCATCCATGCTATTTGAGTGAACACCCTGATTTATTTCAGGCTTTCACAAAAGATTTGTGTTGGCCACAGGTCATTCCTGTTTGTATCAGGGAGAGCAGAAAAAGTTGCTTATCAGAAGGACATTGTCAGTGTAGCTGAGCTCCTGTTCCTTGTGGAAATATTAGAGAATAAAAATCCGCCAAGGTCAAGTGCAACAGTAACACAGGCTGATATTAAAAATAATGTCCCTGCTTTTTTGGCATTGTGGGACACCTCCCACCTGTGATGTTGTATGGAACTGTCCTCAGAGTGCAGGGAAAATAATTCAGCAAAAGCAGCATGGAGCTGTGTCAGGCAATGGCCAGGCTGGATCTCAGGGAAAGGTTCTTCCCCCAGAGGGTGCTGGACACCACCCAGGCTCTCAGGAATGGGCACAGTCCCAGGCTGCCAGAGCTCCAGGAGTGTTTGGACAGTGCTCTCAGGGGCACACAGGGTGGGATTATTGGGGTGTCTGTGCAGGGTTGGGGTTGGACTGCATGGTCCCTGAGAGTGCCTCCCAACTCAGGGGTTCCTGTGGTTCTGTAATCTGTGGATGCCCATGTGCCAACAGCAATACCAGCCCAGCTGGAAGCCTGTAAGCTGAGATGTCCCCTGGCCAGAAAACAGCCTCAGAGCACTTGCCCTGCACTGTATTTGCAGAGGGGCTGCGGCCCAGCATGAGCCTTCCTTGCCCACCCAGCACCACGCAACACCATGTCCATGAAATCCCAAAGATGGATTGAAATATTTGGGGTTAAAACCATGAAGTGCAAGGAAAAGTGGCCAGATTGTTTTCCAGTTCCTGGGAGCTTTGGAGCTTCCACTGCAACCACCATGGAAAAATTTGGCCCAAATCTTTTTCCATGCTTAGGCCATTTTTGGATGTGTGACTTTGACATGGGGGTCTCTGCACCCCTGCAATTATAACATGGAGGGCTTTGGGCAGATAAGGGATGTGCCTTACTAAGAAATTGTGATTTTGGTGTACCATGAGGGATGACATGTCTTTTCCTTGCCCAGTCTGGGTCTGCTTTGTTCCTGGTTGTGGCTCAAAGTGTCCCAGCTGAAGCCCCAGCAGGTCCCTCTGCACCCACAGGGAAGAGGAGCTGGCAGAGGATGTTCCGTGGCACCCTGTTTTGGGGTGCTGGAAGGGACCATGGAGCATGGAACAGGGCAGAGAGCTAAGTATCAGTAGCAGGAACAGTGCAAACATAAGCGTGCTGAACCCACACATTCTCAGCCCGAGCCCAAATGTCTCAGGAGCCAGAAAACCAGGGGGGAAAGGTCCCCTCTCCCAGAGAGGTTTATTTGCTCTAATGCCGCCATCCAGTGGGAGAAACTCCCTGACATGGGAAAGGCTGGAATAAAAGGCACTGGGTTCCCCACCCTGCTCGGGCTGCCCTCGGTGGCCTCCCTGCCAGGGATGCTGAGGCTGCACTCCATGCTCCAAGCCCCGATCCCAGCCTGGGTGCAAAACGGAAACAGCTCACGCGGCACCTGAGCTCCTCCGGCTCCCAGAGAGGGATGGGGAAGGAGGGAAGATGCACCGGGTCAGGGGAGGGCTGCAAGCCCAGAGAAAGAGGAGGAGGCTAAGGTGCAAGCAAGGTCCCAGCGATGAGGCCAGCCCGGTCCCAGGGGTGCACTCCCAACGCTCCCCTCCCGCTGGATATTTGCAATCTGAGCACACCGTCCCTGCAGAAAGCCGAATTCCAGCGCGTATTCAGCAGCACCGGCACTTCAAGGAGGGAAAAGCAGCCAAACATAAAACTCCCTGGGGTCGCTCAGGGAAGAGAAATGACTTTGGCAGCGGCCACAGAGCAGCGCGACGGCGAGCGGGGGAAGCGCGGTGGCCAGCGGCCCCCAGGATCCCACAATGAGCCCGTTTGTTTTCCCCATGGGCGGCCGGATTCCCGCAGAATGGAGCTTTCAGTGGGAATATTCAAAAGTTCAACCTCTCTCAGCAACGCAAGGTTTGCTGGATTGTGCAATGGCACAAAGGGACAGTGTTTCCTCAGGAGCGGGAGGTTCTGCGGCTGGAACGCGGCGCTTTTACTCCCGCACAGAAGCCGCCTGAGAGGAATCACGGCGTTATCGAGGCGGGATCGCAGTCAGAAACTTGCCTTAAAGGGAGAAAGCAGGGAAAAAAGATTCTGTTTATGCGTATACAATAAAAGAATTTCGGGGGTTTTCTTCTGGCTGAAAGCAGCAGCTGTTTTCCTAAGGTGGCGCCAGTTTCCAGGAAGCAGGCGTATTCCTCCAAAATCGAGGGGAAAACCCCTAACTTTTTCTTTTCCCTTTGTGCCAAGAGGAAATTTGTCCTGGGAACGAGTCCTGTGCACAAACAAACACACTGTCCTCTCCTTCGAGAAGCACAAATGCTTTCCCACCCATTCAAAATTAGACAGAAAAATGACTCCTGGACCAGCAATTCCCTGATAAGCCCAACGAGGAGGCAGCATCCTGGTTGAATCAGACGCACACGTCCCGATGGGGATGAATTTTGGAAGCATCCACCACCTCTGCAACTTGGCAAAGGCCATTCCTGGTGGCTGCAAACCCATCCTCGAGCTCCAGCCCACACTCGGGAAAGGGAGAGGAATGGGAGATGTTGCAAAATAAAAGAGATGAGGACATTTGGTGCAGGGAATCTGCTCTGCAGCTGCAAACAGCCTCACGCTGGCACTGGGGCTGAGAACTGTGCGCAGCTCATCACACCTGGAGTCTGGCAACCGTAATAGAGTCTGGTAGCTGTGCCCAAGGTCCCTCTGTATGTTTAATTAAGATCATAGAAGATACTCATTATTTCAATTTTCAGATTGGAGAATTGTTTGGTTTGGAATGGATCTTAGTAACTGCAACTTAGTTAAGCATTATCCAAAAACAGCAGAGGAAATACTGGTGGACATGCTGAGAATGGGAAAGGGGGATTTTTCTTTTTAAGGGACTTTCCCTGTTGGTGTATGCAGAGCAGTGAAACCCACCCAGCAAAGCCGAGAAGCTCTGCAGTGTCCTGGCATGCCTGAGACAGGGAAACCCCCAGACTGAAGCACCAGGACACTGCTCTTCCTTCCTGCAACGAAGGCGGATGGCAACTGGCCTCCAGCCCCAGACCTGGACGAAGCACCTCTCAGTACCTCTGGGACTGAGGATAAACCTCTGACCAGTAAAGAAACGCCAGCCTGAGGTAAAGTACACCCAGCCAGTGTGCCTGAGCAGTCAGGACAAGCTGGCAGCCCACAGCATGGGAATAAAGCACAGTGGAGTCACCGGAGTGGGTGATGGGCTGACTCCGCACCACACTGCAGTGAGAGACACCAAAACATCTGTACCCTGGAGGGGTACAGATGGTCAGTGCCATCTCTGACCCCACAGAGGCTGTGCTGGGCAGCGATGCTGGCACTGATGGGGTCCTGGGGACAAAAGGGCTTGGAGGAGGCCGGGAGGCTCGAGCAGCATTTGGGCAATGCCGTAGCACTGGGAAATGAGTGTTCTGTCCCCTGTGATGTATGTCAAACCTTGTCCCAAGTGTCCACACCCTGATTCCCACGCTGTGTCTGAGCCTCGGCCAGCTCCCCACTAAGATGCCCAGACCCATTTGAAGGGATGTTCAGCTCCCGCTGTGTCCAGTGCTCCGGGTGTCCCCATGGCTGATTATTCTGGATGTCCCATGTCTGGTTCCTCCTGGAATCCTTATAACTCAGGTTGTTCCCACTTCCCTCATTCCTGCTGCCTCCACAACCAGCGTGCCTGCTTAGTCTCAGATCCCAGTGCTCCTGTACCCCCGTGCCCGGTGCTCCTGCTCTTCTGCAGCCAGGTCTTCCCTCCTCCCCCATTCCCAGAACCTGGATGCTCCCAGGACCCCCGCATCCAGGTTCCTCCCAGGTCCTCGGTGCCTGGTGCTCCGGACTCCTCCTCCCCAGTGCTCCCAAGGACTTCCATTCCCGGTTCTTCCCTTACCGCCACGTCCTGCACTCCCGGATCCCCCATCCCCAGTTCCTCCTGGCATCCTCGGCTCCCTGCTCCCCTCATTCCCGATCCTCCCGGGCCCCCCATGCCCGTTTCTCCCGGTTTCCCGGGCTACCCCGTGCCCCAGTGCGCCCTCTCCCCGGCCGAGTCCTCCGTGCCCGGCCGGTGCCAGGTGTTGCCCGGTTCCCCGCTCCTCCTCCTCTCCGCCCCGTGCCGTCCCTCCTCCCCCGGGAAAGCGAAAGCGCGGCGGGCGGAAGCCGAGCGCTCCCCGCCGGGCCGGGCCGGGCCGGGCCGGGCCGGGACCGCGCCGGGGCCACCATGGCTTCCATCGGCGGCTTCTTGCGACGGAGCCTGCGGCGCGCCGGCCGCAGAGGTGAGGGGCGGAGGGGCTCCGGGAGGTGCCGGTGTCAGTTTCGGTGCTTGGACGGGTCCATCCCGGGGCCGCGGCTGCGGCGGAGCGGGGACGCTCCCGGGCAGGGCAGCGGCTCGGTCCCTCCAGCCCTGCCCGCTCCCACCGCAGCCCACGGGGCCGAGCTCGGGCCGCCTGCCCCGGCCTCACCGCATCTCTTGCTCCCTTCTCGGGGGTTCAGCCCATTCCGAGAGCTGCACCCCATCTCCCGGGAGCCCATCCCTTCCCAGCTGAGCCAGCCCCAGCCCCAGGGGCGGTCACACAGATCCCGTCCCCACATCCCACTGAGGAAGGCACCGCAGGGCATGAGGGCGCGGGGCATCTGGCACCATGGGGGGACCCACGAGGGAGACGGTGCCCCTCAGGACAGTTGGGTGTTGTAGAGCCTTCAGAAGACGGTGCAGAAATTGGTTCTTTGGGATTTATGACTTTCCTTAGGTGCCGAAAGGATCACTAGAGTTTCTGGCTGCCGTATCTCAAGGCAAAACAAAGCAGGCTGGAGCAGTCTGCGGGCTGGGGGGCTTAGTGCGCTCCCCTCCCTGACTGTTTTGTGCTGGCCTGGCTCCGCATGAGCTCGATATTACCCGAGGTTTGATAAAGCCAAAGCCATTCCTCTCCACTGGGGCAGGTGGGCAGCTGGGCGGCACGGGAAGCTTAGCTCCCCCGCAAACCAGGTCGGGAAACCTTGGCATACCAGAGGTCGGGAGTTTTCCGGGAGGAAAGAAACCGGTTGTGCCACAGGCAGAGAGAGTGGGGCTGAGCGATAAGGAAAGCCCGCGGCAGCCTTTGCCCTCTCCGTGCCCGGTGCATGGAAGGGTGAAGATCCACGTCACCAGCAGCCACTTTCCATCCGGGAGTTGCGAGAGCACCCGTGGCCACCCGCCTGCTTCCCTTCCTTGCAGGGGATGCTCCCACTGCTGGGGGGCTGGGGGTGCTACCTGAATCTTCCTGACACGGGCTATGGGAGAGTCATTGGCTCTTGTGACCCTGACTTACGTTCCCCGGAGACGAGGCACTGTGAGCGCTGCCGGTTTGGGGCAGCGCTGGGATCTCTGACGGCGCATTCAGCCTGCCTGACAGTTCACTCTGTACATCCCTGGAGCTCATCTTCCAGCCCAGGGATGGGGAGTTTTGGTCTTGGAGGGATTTGGGCTCTTGCCAGTGAGGGCTTTGCAGCCAGACGTGTCACTGCTGTGAGATCCACACTTCCACGTGTGAGAGGCAGAGCTGTAGCCTGGCAAGGCCAGGCTCTCCAGAGCAGCAGGTTTGGCTTGTTTGTTTGCAAACCCCATGGACAAAATGCAAATGCAGTCCTTGCTGGAAAGCAGATCTGTTGTTTTCTGAAATGCAGAATGGGACTGGATAGGCAGGATTTAACTGCACTTTCATCTTGCCCTGGTGATGGGAAAACAGCCAATGCCAGTGTCCAGCATGGATGGGGGACACCAGCAGCCCTGCCATGACACAGCCTTCTTCCCTGGGGCCCCCCCTGCCTGGGTCAGAGGTGGGAGTAGACCAAAGCCATTGCTGGAGCATCCCAAGGAAGAGTGGGAGAAGCAATGCACATCTTGTCAACTTTTCCCTGGCCTGGAGCTCCTTATTGGGCAGGTCCAGGATTATCCCCAATGAGGATAAACCAGAGGTATCCTCCGCCAGGTCTCATCCTTCACCTGCCACAAAGGGATGAATTTTTGGGATGAATTTCACCTTGCCAAAGAGGAAGGGCTTTGTATGTGGAGGTGGGGCAGCCCCAGGGTGCACGAAGGGGTGGCTTTGAGCATCCCCCCACCATGAGCTGGGAGAGGAATTTCCAGTCCCTGGGAAGGAACATCCTGTGATGGGACCATGAGTGTCATCTCCTCCTATGAGCCTTCTGTTCCCATCAGCTCCCAGTGACCTGGAACAAAGGCTGGAGAGGTGTTTCCAGACTAAAGGAGATAGCTCTGGAGCTGGAGGGACATGTGGGCAGGGTGTCCTCCAGCACTGCTTTTGGAGGAGGATGCCATACATGGAGAAGGATAATGGGAACAGCTGATCACAGCCATGCCTGAAGAGCCCAGGGACAAACTCTGGAATCTGAGGACAAGCTGCAAGAGCCAGTAATCTCATCCAGCCACATATTTATTTTCCTTGCTATTCCTAGAAGAGCATCTCAACTTTTCTGCTCCAGTTCCCCGCCATAATCAGGGATAGGACAGTTGGCGTGTCAAGAACAAGGTATAAAGGGAGGCACAAGTGGCCTCTGGAGAGGGAAGAGCTGTGGCATGGCCTGGCTGCAGTCTCTGTCCAGCATTTAACTCGTCTCCTTTCCAGCCCTCAGATCTCACTGTCCCACTGTGGTCATCCCAGGGCCCTTGGAGATGCTGGATGGGGCTCTTTTCTCTCCTATTCCTTGTTGTTCAGGATGTGACAGTTGATGCTTCCCCAGTGCCCTCCCCAACCAGCCCAACAAGTACTGAGGTGTAATCTCCAGGAATTGCTTTGCTTTGGTTTAGGGAAAACCCTCAAGTAGCTCATTTGCAGTCAGCAGTTCCCAGAACACCTGAGAGGGGGAGGTTGGGACTCATCTGATTGGAGCTTTAGGAGGTGCTCAAACAAGATCTGGGCTGGTTTTTTGCTGTTTACTTCCCCTAAGAGAATAAAGTTAACTGCTATAAACACATTCCCACACCTCCCTGTAGGTGTTTAATGCAGAGCCCATCTGCTCTCCCTCATTCCATGTGTCTGCTCTGAGCATTCTCACTGGGCTGGGGCAAAGGAAGGCTCGGAGTGTCTTAGGATTTTCCCTAAAAGACTCATAAAAGCCATTTCTTTTTCCTTTTCATGTCTCCAGCTGTTCCTTTTTGGGGACCAAAAGTCCTGGGCACCAGGACCTGGTTCCCTTCAGCCAGTTCACATGTAACTCTGCAAGTCCTCCCTTGCCCTCAGGACACCTCACACCTTTCATTGCACTCTGATTGGATTTTTATGGGATCTTTTTTGGCTTCAGAAGGAAAAGATGGGGCCTCTGCTGCAGAAAACACCCCCCCACGGGTACCACAGGGGAATCAGGGGGAGCGGAGCTCAGTCTTCTACTCTGCTGGACAGTTCTTCTTTGAGTACCTGGTGGTGGTGTCACTGAAGAAGATGTCAGATGGACATTATGAACCCAAAATAACCTACCAGTTCCCAAAGGTATTTAGTCCTGTGTTCCTGATAAGATTTGTTTTCCACATTTAGAGGAGAAAGGGATGTTGTTCCTTCCCAATCATTAAAGCTATGGAAGGAGAAAGGTGCACCATGCTCTTGAGTCACAGTCCCAGGCCCCAGGGCTTTGCCTGCCCTGGGCTGGGGTTGCTGGGACCATCTGTCCCTCCCCATGATCCCAGGGCCACAAGCCCTGGGAGGAAACTCCAGGGGCTGTCCCTGGCCTCCTGTCCCAAAAAGGGAAACTACAGTGGGGAAATCACACTCTGGGAGGTGGCACAGGAAGAGATCACAGTTTGCAGAGGGTCCTTCTGCTTTGCCTCACTGTCCTTGGGGTGAAAGTCAAAATCGGGATTTTTGGGAGGTGCTTGTCCAGACATGTGCAGGTCCCTTCTGCATCATTCAGAGCTGGGGGTCGCTTTAGGACAGACCTCATTCCACTGAATCCCACCCCATTCCTGGTGACGATGGGGACCCTCCATCTCCCTGACTCTTGGTATCGCTTCCGTCCAGCGTGAGAACTTGCTGAAGGGCCAGAAGGAGGAGGAGGAACGTCTCCTCGAAGCCATCCCCCTCTTCTGCTTCCCTGATGGCAACAACTGGGCACCTATCACTGAGTTCACCAGGTACCTGCCCCACTGCAGGGTCTGGGCTGGGATCCCCACCCCTGCTGGAGTCCTGAGGGCTGGAAGGACCAGCCCAGCCCAGCCCAGTCCATCCCAGCTCTTCCCAGCCCCATGTTTTCTTTTCTTGCAGCGAAACCTTTTCTTTTGTCCTGACAAATGTGGATGGCAGCAGGAAGATTGGCTACTGCAGGCGGCTGCTGGTGAGCCCTCCCCACCCCACACTCATCAGAGGTGTCACCCCCTCCCCATGGTGGGACACGTCACCTCCTGCCAGGCCCAGAGTTCAGCTCTTGGGGACGTGCCTCAGAAAGCCACCAGTGATGATGAGCAGCAAGAGGGTTTAAAAACCCAAAGCGGGTTTTTAAAGCTCTCTGCTGAAGCATAACTCAGATGCTGGATGGAGGAAACAACGAGTGTTCACAAAGCCTGTGGATGTGGCACTTGGGGATACAGTTCAGGGGTGAATATGGTGGTGCTGGGCTACTTTTGGACTTGGAGATCTTGGAGGGCTTTTCCAAACTGAATGGTTTCTGTGATTCCTCACTGGCTTCCACAGCTTCCCTGGCTCCTTTCCCATGCCTGCTGTGGTCAGGATGGCTGCAAATCCCACTTGGGATCAGGATGGGAATGTTAATGCAGCCATCCAGGTACCACGGAGCTAGGAGCCCTCAGCCCCATCCCCAAAAACTGCATCTGAGTAGTGGCTGTTTCTCAGCTCATGGGTTTGACCAGCTCAGGGGCTCTGAGATGCAATGGTCTTCCCTGGCTGCTGCTGTAACCAGGGACATAAATCCAGGAGGACATCTCTGTGCCACAGCCTGGACAACAGCTGGATCCACCGTCCCTTCATCCTGGTGAACCTTCCCATTTCAGCATCCAGGGATGAGCTCAGGCTGTTGGATGTCTGGAGGGCTGAAAGTGCAGAGAGCAAACAGACCCAGGATAGTCCAGTTAGAAAGGGAAAAAAATCCAAAGAACTCATCGTGATGGCCCCTGTTGTAGCAGGGGACAGGATTAACCTCAAGGATGGTGAGGCAGGATGTCTTGGAGAGTGTGTGCCTAGGTGGGAGGAGAGTTTGAAAATATGCCAAAGGACTTTGCACCAAAACAATTAACAGCTTAGGCACCCAAATCACCTCTGGGCACCCTCTGCTTTTCCAACATCAGCTACGTCATTGGCCTTGGCCCTAGCCTTGAAAATCTCCCAGTGAGTGACTGGGAATTTGAGGGGAGCAAGTGAGGATCCCTTTGGAGAGTGTGAAGCTGGTGCAGAGGGCTGGGAGATGCTCAAATCCTTTTCCCACACTCTTCCAGCCATCCGGGCGTGGTGTCCGACTCCCTGAGGTTTTCTGCATCATCAGCTGCCTGGGCTGCTTTGGGCTCTTCTCCAAGGTAGGGACATGGGGCTCTGGCCCAGTGGTGGCCCTGGCGACTGCTCCTTTATCTGCTGGGGATTCAGCTGATATCTTTCTCACCCAGATCCTGGACGAGGTGGAGAAGAGGCGCCAGATCTCCATGGCAGTGATCTACCCCTTCATGCAGGGCCTGCGGGAATCGCCCTTCCCAGCTCCAGGGAAAACTGTCACCATCAAAAGCTTCATCCCTGAGTCGGGCACAGAGGTTGGTGGGGGACCCGGGGGCACCTCCTGGTCTACATCTGGGAGCATCCTCCAACCCTGCAGCACCCAGGGGTGCTGGCCATAGCAGAACAGGGTGGGTCAGGCTGCCAGAGGCCTCATCTCTTGGGAATATGGGTGTTATCTCTCTCCTGATCCAGGAGGAGAGCAGTGAGGGTGAGGATGGAGCCCATCCCTTTGCTCCATCTTTGCCACCTCTGCAGCTCTCCCAGCCTGAGGCTGGAGCTGCAGCACAAAAAGCTCTCCATACACTGTTGGGACTTGCCTGGCCCTGATGCCAGAGCAGGATGTTGTGCCAGCGGCTGGAAGCAGAGTGTTGTGCCACGGGCTGGGAGGGGCCTGTTGTGCCAGGGGCTGGGAGCTGCTCCTGCTCCTGAGCCAGCATCAGCTCCTCCGGAAGGTTGGGAAGCACAGTGGTGCAAGGGCTGTCGTGGGCTGCAAATTTCTTCCCAAAAGAGGTGCTCAGGCACTGGCACCGCCTGTCCAGTGCAGTGGTGGAATCACCATTCCTAAATGTTAAAAAACACGTGAATGTGGCACTTGGGGATGGGGGTTAGTGGTGAACATGGAGTTCATGATCTTAGAGGGCTTTTCCAACCCTGATGATTCCATGACTGCATGATTATACTCTTCTCCATACCAATGTATTCAGCTCCCAGTCTTGATTCCTGCCTGGTTTAACCCCTCAGGCAAGTGCAGGTGTGTGACAAGCCCAGTCTTTTCCTGTAGAGAAAAGACCTGATCCAGGCATGGATGAGATGATCTCATTGCACCCACACACAGCCCAGACTTGCATGGGCATAGCTTTTTAATTTGTTTTTTCTTTCTCTTGTGGCAAAGTCAAGCTGGAAAAATAGGTAGGATCCACTCTGGCACTGGCCAAAATATCCTCAATGCTGAGCATCCCATGGATGTGCCAGGGAGGGCCTGAAAGCAGGATCCCTGCTCTCTAGAGCAATTTAGCAGATGGTGATCTAAGTGATTTCTTAATGCAGGGAGCTTGTGCAAGACTTTGCATGTTGCTCAATGCTCTGTCCCAGGGCCATGGTTGGAAGCACAGCCTAGGCTGTGGAGGGAGGAGGAATGAGGATGTTCTTTGGGCTCTGGGCAGGGTCTGGAGCAAGGAAATCACTGAGACCAGGAAAGGAGGAGAAATAAATCTTGGATACTGCATGGGGATGGGGTGGGACTTATGCTGGAAAGGGGCTGTGGAGCCCAGCCAAGCCTGATGCTGCTGGCTGAGAAGTTGCTGCTTTGGTGGAAAAGCATGTGGAGAAGGGGATTTTCTTCCTGAAGGATGGGGATTTTCTTCCTGAAGGGTGGGGAGAAGGGCCAAGGTCATGAGCTGCACAGTCCTGTTAACCTTTCAGTACTCGCCATGTCTGGCTGCCACGGGGATTGGTGGAATTGGGAGACTTGTGGGCAAATGCAGCTCAGTAGCCAGCCTACCTTGCAAATATCCATTAGATCTCTCACTTTTGGGGAATCTTAGCCAGGAATTGCCAGGCTGACCCTGCCAGAGAGACTTTAGAGGAAGGTTTTGTGGCATTTGTAGGAATCATGCCCTCCCCACTCCTCCCTTTCCTGGCAGCTCACAGATGACCTCTCAGACACTGAGATGGGACATGTCCCTGCCACTCCCTGCCAGGGACTTGGGAACACTGGAGAAAAGAGGCATTTGGGTTAAAAATCCAGTACCCAAATAAAGAGCCCCACAGTGCATGCTACTGATGGCTCCCCTGAGCTCTCAGCACTGCACAGGCTGAACCTCCTGGCAGGATGAAATGGGGTTTGTCCCTTGTATATGGACACGGTGCAGATGCTGCAAATGCTGGGTCATTAATTGCTTCCAAATCACCTTCTCAGGAAGCCAGGGCAGGACAGGGGGCGTGTTGCCCCTCCTAAGCTGGGGTTCTGTGGCTCTTCCTTGACAGCTCATTGAGCTCACACGGCCTGTGGATGCCCACCTGGAGCACGTGGAGTTCCAGGCTCTGCTCCAACGACTCAGCCCTCACCTCATCCTGCTCATCTTCGCCTCCGCCGTGTTGGAGCGACGGCTCATTTTTCTGGCTGAGGAACTGAGGTGAGTCCTGATCTCTTTATTATAAAAATGCCCATTAAAAGTGGCGTAGGACACAGCAGAGCTCAAGGTGGGATGTTCCCTCCTCCCTGCCGTGATATCACTTCTGGCTGCCTGTTCCACAGTGCCCTGTCTCAGTGTATCCACGCTGTGGCTGCTCTCCTGTATCCCTTCACCTGGGCTCACACCTACATTCCTGTGGTCCCTGAGTGCCTGCTGGACACCGTGTGCTGTCCCACACCCTTCATGGTTGGCATCCAGATGCGGCACCTGGAGCGGGTCCTGGAGCAGCCAATGGAGGAGGTATTTCATCTGGAGAGGAGGGCAGCTGGATGGAGCCATCAGTTAATCTGTGTCCCCAGGTTTGGCTTGTCCCTGGGGCCAGAGGCTCTGATTGTGCCCTTTTCTCATCCAGGGAGGCTGGAAATTAGGGTGTCCTCCATGTCCCCTCCTGTTGGCACCTGGAGCAATACCTCCACGTTCCCCTGGGATTTCCTGCGGCTCCAGGTGTTGGGGTCATCCCAGTCTTGAAGCAGAGAAAAGCTTGTGGGGACAAGCCACCAAACCTGCAGCAAAAATTGTCCTTGTGGGAAATGCCCTGGTCCCCCTGCCCAGGTCCCTCCTGCAGAGACAGGCTGATCCCTCTCCTGCCGCCCTCATGGGCTGGTGACACACCAGTCCCATCCCAAAATGGGTGTGAGGAAGCCCAGGTGACTTGGCAGGGCTAAACCTGCTCACTCCCTGCTCTCTTTCAGGCTCTCATAGTTGATCTCTGTGAAGGGAAGATCATCCGGGCGGTAGGTCTTCCCTGTGTGGGTGTGGGGCTGGGGGTGGCCTGGATAACCCCAGGAAGGGTTTTTTCTCCTTTGGTGTCAGCTACCTGGCAGCTGCCACATTTTCAAAACTGTCAGAAGGCAGGGTTAGATGGGATTTTGTGAAGGAATTCTTCCCTGTGAGGGTGGTGAAGCCCTGGCTCAGATTGCCCACAGAAGCTGCGGCTGCCCCTGGATCCCTGAAAGTGTCCAAGGCTAAGCTGGATAGAGCTTGAAGCAATGTAGTCTAGTGGAAAATGTCCCTGCCCATGGCAGGGGGTGGAATGGGATGAGCTTTAAGGTCCCTTCTAACCCAAACCCGTCTGGGATTTTGTGGTTCTATAATCTTGGGGGCAGAGCCATCTTCAGTGACACCCTCCCAGGGGGAACATCCCTTGTGGGGATGTCTACAGCCACTGGTTTTTGGGCCAGAATAGCAGGGTCCATTCACTGGATATCCCACACCCACGTCTCTGCAGGACATTGTGATGATGATTAATTAATGAGCTTTGAAAGCCCCACTGACGGGCTGCACCAACCCATGGCCCCTTGAGCTGGATTCCCTCCAGTGCTTCACAGCCCCATTGCCTTCCAGGTGGGGGATGAGGAGGAGATCCTGCCTGGAAAGTTGCAGAACGAGATCCTGCTATCTCTGAACAGGCACAACAGCAACAACAACGAGCACAGTAAGGATGTCTGTGATGGTGAAAGAGCCCTGATCTGCCCTCTCCATGGCTAGAGACTTCAGCCAAGGGATTTTCCTAAAGTCACTTGGTCTGGGATGCTTCTCCCCCTGTTTGCAGGGGTAATCCCTTGGGGTTTCCTCTGTCCTTTGAAACACGGGAGCAAGAACAGATAATTCTGCTGGAAAAATGGATTTTTGCTAATACTTAGAACATTAAGATGCTGCCACCCTGGAAAGCCAGGGTTCCTTCAGCAAAATTAGTCTGCTCCTTGATTAGTGGCAGAGGAAGGCTCTAAGCAAGCAATTCCTTGGGTTGCAAACACAGAGCACGTTAAAATGAGCCCGTCCTGTTTGTGTTCAGAGGTCTCATCCCCACCTCTCGTGCTCCGTGTCCCCTTCTAGCCTCGGAGCAGCTGAACGCCCTGGTGTCGGAAGCCTTCGTGCACTTCTTTGTGCGGCTGGTCGGGCACTACGGCTCCCACATCAAGTGGGGCAGGAGCGGCTCGGGCAGCTTCCAGGAACGAGCCTTCTGCAAGGCCATCGCCTCCAAGAGCTGCCGCAGGTTCCTGAAAAAGTTTGTGAAGACGAACATGTTTTCCCTCTTTATTGAGGAAGCGGAGAAGAGCAGGATCCCACAGGAAGGTAAGGGTCCCATTTCTCGTCCCCTCCCCTGTCGGGTGAGCTCTGTAGAACCCTGGGCTGGTTGGTTTAGGGGCAGAGATGCCTCGTGCCTGGTGAGGGATGGGATGCAGTCTAAGCTGAGGGTGCTCAGGGCACTGAGCAGATCCCGTTTGCTCTCAATGGCCTTGTCTCTCCATGTCTGTCAAGCAAAAAAAAAAAAAAAAAAAAAAAAAAAAATCCTCATTTGTGACTCCCCATTCCTGGAAGTGTCTAAGGCCACTTTGGATGGGGCTTGGAGCAAACTGGTCTAGTGGAAGGTGTCCCTGCCCAGGGCAGAGTTTGGAACTGGATTAGCTTTAAGGTCCCTTCCAACTCAAAACAGCGTGGGATTCTGGGCTCTAATGATTCATTTTAGAACTTGTCACTCGCCTGGAGCTGGGGCCAGCTCACTGGGAGCTCTGTGTTGAGGCAAACAAGCAGCAGCAGCACAAACATTTGGCTTGGGCACACCAGCAACTGCCAGGAGCCTGACTCAGCTCAGCCCCTAACTCTGTGGCAGTCGGGCTGGTCTTTCCCCCTTCCCGGGGATTTACAGGGCACAGGGCAGAGCTGAGCCTCCTCCCAGCCTGGGACACAGACAAATGGGCAGTGGAGGTGGAGGAAGCCAACCAAAAACTGTATTGCAGGATGGAGACATCCTGGGCTGGGATCTGCCACCCTACCTGGGGGACTCCTGCTGGCACTGCCTCAGGTGTTGCTTCTCTGCCTTTTCATGTGAGACCTTACAGAGAAAACCCGGGAGAAAGAGAGGGATAGCATAATCCCAGTTTCCTTATTCCCTGTCTATATCACCATTCTGGCTTTTTGCTGGGTCTGCTGCTTTCTCCCTTTGTTGCTGGTAGGAAACACAAAACTGAACAGGAGTGAACACATTGATTAAAACCTCTGGCTAACCCAGCATAATAAAGCCTATTTTGGCTGAGAGGAATGGGTGGCATTGCAACCACCCCATTTCATAGACTTACAGAATCCCAAAATTCCAACAAATTGGGTTGGAGGGACCTTTAAAGGGCATCTCGTTCCACTCCCTGCTATAGGCAGGGACACTTTCCACAATCCCAGGTTGCTCCAAGACCCATCCACCTGCCTTGGACACTTCATTTCCACATTTTCCCGGGGTCCTCTGTGGGTGCAGGTGTCCATAACCCAGGAGGGTTTGGGACACAAACACTTCCCAGGATTCAGGCTGGGTAGCCCTGTATGCCCCATTCCAAACACCAGCACTTGTCCATGACCTTTTTTTCCTCCACAGCATATTTCCAGCAGAAAATAATAGAGTACCATGAACAGAAGAAGCACCGAAGGGACTCCTGAAGTCCAGTGTGGGAGCAGGGGAACAGGACTGAGATTGACACATCCCTGCCAGCAGCACCATACTGGACTCTGTTCCTGCCCACCTGGGACTCCTGAGCTGCCTGGGCAGCACTGAGCACCCTTTCTTTCTCAGGGCATCATTGCACTGGAAAACTTTTTGCACAGAACTAGCACCAGGTTGGGATTTCTTTCCTGATGGTGGTCACTCCAGGGACAGACTGTGACTCCCAGTGCTTGGCTCTGCACGGTTCTTGTCCCCCCAACACCTCACACAGGGAGAGCAGCCAGGGCTGGCTGCAGGAAAACAGGGATTTAGAGTAATTATTAGAAGGGAGAAAAAAAAGGGATGAGTAGGAAATAGTGTTACTTCTCATTAAAACAAACCAGGGATTTGCAAATAAGGAACATCCCATTGCACAGTTCCTGAGGTTTTCTTATTAACAACTGGTTTATATTGTTTTATTGAGCCATTGTTGAACACCAGCAGGAGTGGAGGCAGGGGGGCGGTGTTAGTGGTTTCCTCTCTTGCAGCTGCTGCATCACTGGTGCCACATAGAGCCAAGTTTGGCTTTCTAAGGAAACAAAAATACTCATTTCCAGCAGGTTATTTATTTGTGCTGGAGCAAACTGTGAGGGCCACATGGCTGTGAGGTGTCAAGGGGAAACAGCTAATCAACAGCTTCAACGAGGTGAGGGAGGAAGGATTTGTTCCATCCCAGAGTAAAATGTGTCACCATCCTCCTTGGGTCTGGTCTTGGTGCCACCTTCTCTTAAAACCTTGCAATTCGTCTCTGAAATGTGAGGCCAGCAGCAGATTAAAGCAAAATGACAGTTCTCCTTTTGGAATACACTCACCCAGGAAATAAATATTGCATCAGGGAAGCTGGGCTGGGACTGCAGAACTGAGTGGTCCCATCCACAGAGGCCCAACGCAGGTACTTCTCCCAGCACAGGCTGGGAATGAAGGCAAAGCTTTATTCTTCTCTCTGGGATGTTACAGCCAGGCTGTCACATCACCTGGTACCCACCAGGCATCAAAATATCAAAAATATCCTGGAATCATGGAATCTCAGACTGTTTTGGGATGGAAGGGATGTTCATGATCACCCAATTCCACCCCCTGCCATGGGCAGGGACACCTTCCACTATCCAGGTTGCTCCAAGCCCCATCCAGCCTGGCCTTGGACACTTTGAGGGATCCAGGGGCAAACACAGCTGCTCCAGGCAATCTGTGCCAGGGCGTCACCACCCTCACAGGGAAGGTGATATCCCATCTAAAAATCTCCTATTTTAGTTTAAATCCATTCCTTCCTTGTCATATCACTGTTTCCTTGTGTAAAAATTCACTCTTCTTTTTTTATAGGTATTTGTTGAGTTCTGGTTTTAATACCCTCCCTTTAATGCCCAAGACAGACTGTGTGCTGGGGACACACTAGGAAGGCTCAGCTAGAGCTTCCAGGAGCAGGGACACTGGGGCTGGGTCACATTGCAGCACATCAGCATAACCCACAGTGTATTTTTAAATCCTTCTTCCTGCTCGAGATTTGCCCAACACTTGATCCAAGCCTACAACAGTAAATAAAACAACGCCAAGAAATGTTTCCCTGAATTCGAAAGAGCTCATTTATTCTGCTAAATTGTTAACATAGTTCCCAGCAGAGCACTGGCCAACTCACACCATCCAAACAACTTGGGGCCCGGCTGGCAGGCAGGCAGCCCCCGCTGCTGATTTGGGACTCAATCCCTGCTATGCAGCTGCTCTAGGAAAGATAATTTCATACTCTGGTATGTGTCACCCTCTGCCAGTGGCCTCGGTGCCAGCAAACAGTCCTGGGAGGGTTCACCCTGCTGGAGCCAGCACAGGGTGACAGCCCAGTGCTTCCCACCACTCCAGGGCAGGAACAGCCCCTGTTCCCACCCTACTCAAATCCCACCTGGCCATAACCTTGGAACTGCTGTAGTTCTCATCCTCTGGAAATTATTAAACTCCTCTGCAGCTCCATTCCACACTCACAGCTAGGACACAGCACTGGAGGTACTGGGGCAAGCTGGGTAGGATGGGAAGAGGAGAGAAATAGTGCTTTGAAACAAAGCTGATGCTTTGATGACAAAGAGGCCCTGAGGTGTCCTGACCTGCTCCTTTCCTGTGTTAAACCCCTTATCAGAGCAAGGGAACTCCTTACACAGTTCTTAAAGAGCCAACACAACACTGAGTGGAAATTTCCAGCTTCTCTTTACAAACAGAAGAAAACCTGCAGAGCAGAACTGCATTGTTGCAGTAGGGCGTGTTCTCATTCTTAGGTGCTGCTGCTGCAGAAGTTCTCCCTCCTGAGTGTTTCCTCAACACAACAGAAAGGGCCCCATCATGAGATCAGGCTGAGCCCACAAATCCCCTGTCCTCCTTCTCAACTCCACAAGCACATCTGAGGTGACTCATGGCCTCAAACAAAGCAGGTGGAAAGGTTGTTTATTCCATTATCTGTCACCATACCCAGAGCCATAGCAGCATTTTAGAGGTCTTGGATTGCCAGCAGTGACTGTTCCCTGATAACACTGAAATTGTATCAGCAAAGAAATGAATTTTTTTCTTGGCTGGGGGCATCCAAACTTCCAGGGAGTTTCTGAGAAAAGCTCAGAAAAAGGTGTCCTATTGCATCTCCTGAACAGCAACAGGCTTTAGCTTTGCACATGGAAGTCTGGTCCTGCACAGCCTTTTAAAGGCTTTGGTTCTTCTCCAGTCTCAAGTATTAGTAACAAATTATTTGGAGTAGCCTAATCTTAAACCTCTGAGGACTGAGAGCAGGAAATCTCCTTGTTTACATGGGTAAGTGGGCACAGAGGCATTTGGTCAGAGGCTGGATTTGATGAACCACCAGACTGATTCTGGTTCAAGGACACCACTCACACTCCAGGGAGGTACTTTCCAAGCAACAGTTCTGCACCCACTTCATGCTGATGAAAGGAAACATGTGATTTGTAAAGGGCATGTTCAAACCCTTCCAGGATCTTCCCTTGCAGATTTACCTGCTGCCTTTGAAAGACAGTAGCAGCCCCTTCCCCAGCTCATTGCTGTTAAAACTCTGCGAGTTCCCTGAATTCCATTTACATCTAAAAATGTCATTCTAGAACTGTCACCTCATACATGGAGATGCTCCTGGCACCAAGGTAGTTGGAGTAGAGCTCCAGGACACTTGGGAGCTGCCCCAGATGCAGGAATCAAATCCCCTCTCTGGCTCCAGCCTGGCAGAGACCCTGACAGGACCCCCAACACAGGGCTGGGTCCCCAAAGAACTCTCAGCTGCTCTTGCCATAAAACTGCTGCTCACAAGATTCAAAGTGGGAGTGCAAGGTGGAGTAGGGAAGCCTTACAGGAGTCTCCTCCTCATCCTGAGCATGTTCCTGATTTTCCCATTGCCCCCACGCTGACAAACGACCTCCAACTCACTTGCTGACATGGTGCCACCCCATGGGAAGGAAACAAGACTCTTCCAAGCACAGAAGCCACAAGACTGGGCACTTCCCTCTGCCAAGGCTAAGCCAAAGGACTTGGCACCTCTGCTCTACTTCCTAGCACAGCCCACTAAACCGGAGCCACCTTCCTCCACGACCCCTCCAGTCCTGTCCTTGCCAGGACACAAGCAAGCTCAATCTCTCAGTCCACGGCAGCCAGACACTGAGCACGGCCCAGGGAGAGGGCACAAGGGTTTCAAACCTAAGCACTGCAGGAACTGAGTTTTCTCTCCACTTCCTGAGCACATTTTCTAATCACTGGGGTATCGCAGGAAATCCAAGACAGCACTTCCAGGAGCTGAGGGAGGTTTTGATTTATGCTTACTGAAGTGTGACGTTTTTTGGTTTGTTTTTTCTGACCATGAGCTGTGTTTAATTCCTCCAGAGCCATGTCATTTTTCCACAGGCACTGCCTTGGCCTGGGCTCCCAGCACAGGGGATTTCCTTCCCACCTCCAAAGAGATGCTCCATGGTTAGAGGGCTGGGATTCCAGAAATGGGATCCCAGTATTCCAGCTCTGAGCTCTGTCTCCAGCGCTACCCCACAGCCAAGGCAGATCCTGCTCAGAGTCACTCCCTGCTTGGTACTTCAGCCCCTTTGCTCAGGACCGAAGTTCCCATCAGTGCCAGGGCCTGTGGTACCATGTGAACTTCATTAACATGCAATTAAACCCTCCATTAATCTTAGTGTCCCTCATGCAGTTCACCACAGTTAAATGGTATGAAAACAATGACAGAAAAAAAGAAACCCAAACTTACTGCACTATATAGCAGGCAAAGCTCTCAGAGATCCTGGAATGACGTGATCCACATAAAAACACTGGAAAACTACTCTTTAAGCCACAGGCAGGTTTGTCATTCACAAGTCTAAGCAAGACAGAGCAACACATACATCTCAAGACAACTGTTGCTCTCAGAATTCTTATTTATTAAGAGCAGAAAGGAAATTTTGCTTAAGTTTTATACATAAAAAAGTAAACAGTATTTTTTTTTTCTTATAGTCTTTTCTACTGAAGAAAATTGAGAAATAAGTTGTCTTTTTAGATAATGTTTATTTAAAAAAATAAAATTAATTGACAAAGATACCACACTATTTTGCATGCTGGGCACCCCTTGGCTCGCAGGACCCTGTTCAGCATGAAACCGCTTTGTCAGCAATGCACGAGCAAAAACCACCCCAGCCTGGCTCCCACCTGGCAGCTGCTGCAGCCACACAACTTAGTGAGATATCTCTGGGTTTTTACCACCTCAGGTCTGTAGTAAATAAATTCCAAGTGGACACTAAACAAGTATTTCACTAAGAGATGATGAAATATTAAAATTAAAAGCAAGTCAGATTGCAGCTGTAATTATACTACATTAGAAACTTCAGTTGGTGGGGATCCATTCACCATATAGAGATTAATTTGTAATCAAGGTAATTACAAAGACAGAGCATTTTCTTCCTGCATGCTTTTCCGGGCTTGGAACCAACAGAGTTGACTACATGGAAAGTTGACTAGGGTGTACTTGGAATTCACTCTCTCAGGCAGGAGACTAGTTAAGGAGTGTTACTGATAACAAAGAAGAAAAGTTATACAACATTGATTATTATAAATTACTTTGTTCTTATCTGCTTTTAGCCTTAGTCTCCTACAAGTCTTCATCCATTCCTGTAGAAACCCAACTCCTTCTCCATTCCCCTGTGGCAGCTGCCATCCCTAGTGGTGGTTCGAGTGCGTGGGGCAGCCTTTGATGCGGAACACGTGGATGTGCAGGTGGGCAGCGATCTGGTTGCACACACTGACACAGTATCGGAGCAGGTCAAACAGGGACAGGATCTGCACAGGAAAAAATCATCCACATGATATATACCCACATGTTCCTTATGTGCCACACAGGGTGTAACAGCCCACA